TTGTTGTATTAACTGCCTAAAGTGCCAAGACGCCTCTAAAGCAGTGACTCTGTCTTACATTTGAGGTAGAAGAGCACCACTGTGAGGCCACTCTGTGCTACTGCAGTGTGAAAGTTGTCTGACGTCAGTTGGGTAACTGAATCCATGTCCGATAAGGTGCCTCTGTTTTCAAAAACTGCCGCTGCGATTTCATCGTCCAGCTTGCCTGGAGACAGATGCAAACACAAAAAAGTTGAACTCTTGTTCTCATTCTTCCTTTTCTTCACGCTTCTTTCACTCTTGAGTCCCTTTACCAAAATGTGAATCTTCCTCATTGTCATCCACACCTTCGTTGTCTTCTTCATCATCCACCTCCTCCTCCTCTTCATCTTTTTCTTGATCTGCGAACAGCACCAACACCTCATCGAGGCTGTTTAAGGTCAAATACTTTACTTCTAAACTCTGGAGGTGCACACACACAAACAAAAACGTGGGTAAGAATAACAAGTACTCTCATTCTGTGTATTATCTTGTGCCATGTTAGTGTCACACCTTCTCAGGCAGCCTGTAAGCAGCATTGTACTCATCAGGGGTTTTCACTGCAGGGCTCTGCCTGGAAACACACAAACCCATAAAAGAAATGATCTTAATGTCTTCATATCCATGCTCGTACACGTAGCTGGAGCTGTTGCACACCTGTGTACAAGCAGCAGCAGGGCGAGGCCTCGCAGCCTCCAGGCCAGCGTGGTGGCCGTATCGAGGTCCAGGTGCTCAGTTGCGGGATGAGAGAAGAGGAAGACCTGGGGAGTCTGCTGGTAGGGGAACTGGGGGGGCTGGACTGAGGAGGGGTCGTCGTACACCTCGGTCTGGTAAGGAGGAGACACAAAGTGTTAAGAGATTCTACTCATGGTGGTAGGGTGGCTCTTTTGTGCACAACATGCTCATGGTTACTTTTTTTTTGGTATATTTGGTAAGTTGTACGTTGCTTTTTTCTAAAGGTTTACTTACAAAACACAGCTGCAATGACAGCATAATAACCACATGATCTAATATGCTGTGTTCCTGTTAAAAGGGTGTTTTTTCTCCCCGCTGACGCCAAGTGCTTGCTCATAGGTGGTGATCTGATCGTTGGGGTTTTCTCAGTATTACTGGAGGATCTTTAGCTTACAATATAAAGCATTTGTTATGATTTGACACTATAAAACTAAATAAAACTAAATTGACTTGACTTGTGAACTGTGAAGAAGCTTGCGTAGTGAGTCTTATATTGTTATTAAAGCTGCTTTTACAGGAAGCATCGAGTAAGTCCAACTTTTATTCACACCTCAGAAACGTTAGCCTACAGGTAACTGAAAGAAACGTCACGATATGTGACTACTATAAACAAAGAGAACAGGAGGCTGTGTTCTCCTTTTTCTTATGTTCGCTAGCCCCATCAGCAACATCTCCACTTAGAGACACATCAGTAGTTTTGTCTCTTGCATTATTTCATACACTCTTGTTGCTTCTTAATGACTGAACTCCTGAATTTCTTTTTGATCCTGCTCTTTTGTTTTGGACCGCTGAGTTTAACAGGTTAAGAAGCTAAAATAAGGTTTAGTTGTCAGTGTCATGAAGGTTGGTCTATTTTACCCTTGCTAAATCACTGTGGTAACTTATGCTGAAGCCCAGCTTCTCACAGAATCTTTCACAATATATTTTAGAGCAGGGATGCCTACTGTGAGGCCCGGGTGCTAGAAATGACCTGCCAAAGTGTCCAATCCGGTCAACTGGAAAATGCACTACGGTGGGGACATCCCTGCTTTAGAGCTATAAAGATTCAGTGCTGAAGAAATACACTTTATACATGAAAGTTGTTAAGCCTTACTACCTTACTAATCCCACTGATTGAAGCCCAGCCAAAGAGTTACAGCAGCTGGAATTGCACCTAACAGAGATCAGATTAGAAAAGTGATCAGTTACATCTGTTGGCCACTTCTTGCCATTAATCTTCATTTATTAAAATAAATTTCACTTTGACCTGGCAACAAAATAAAGCGTTCTCAATTTTTCCTCTATGAGCTTGTGGGAGAGTGAACACGCTGACTAAATATTTAAATGTATCTGAGGTGTCAGAGCGCTGATGTGCAGCTGTCACATTAGTAACAAACAGCAGGAATGAGAGGGCACTGAGAAATAAAACACTTATACAACTCAAGACAGTATTCTGGGTTTTTTTGGCGTGTTTGTGAAGATTAGAACTTGAGAAGATTAACAACCAACTGCAGCACTGCTGTCTTGTCTTATTTGCATAGATCTGTATCACCAAATGAGCACAGACACTGAGCCTAAAGCAGAAAGAACACTGATAACAACCCTTATCTCTGACTGGGGTTTTGTCAAGTCAGCTAACGCAAAGAAAACTGAACCATGAACTTCACTCTGTTCGCACAACGCCAACAGCTCGATGACATTTTATACGCCAAATAACCTGATGAATTTTGCATGAATTTACAAAGTAATCCTGTACCAGCTTACAACTAGTGGAGCCTCCATGAGCTGCAGGAAGGAGTGGAGGCTTAAGGTGGATAGGGGTTTCCTCATGCGGGTCAAAGGGCAGCGCTCAGAGGTCATTGGGGTCATGAACCCACTGTGAACTCTGCAGTGGAGGAACCACACTCGAGACGAAGGAGACGATTCGTTTACACTGAAAGACACACAGAGACAACTTCCTGAAAACACAGACTAACATCAAACACATTCACACTGTCGGGTCTTTAGTTTAGAACATGAGAAATTACATGAATCCTTTTCTTTGTATCCACACTTGTGTGTTTGTCTATGCATTTCCAGCAGGATGTCAGACTTTTCATATTTTCTCCTAAGTATTTGGAGTCAGACCAGAAAAGCAAAAATTATCCTGGGTATGTTAAAAGCCTGTTTCGAATGACAGTCCCTTTGGTTTTCACAGCCGTGTGAGTTTAAGGTTTTGAGCATGTGTCTCTGAGGTCACAAGGCCACAGCGGACACATCAGCTGTCATCTTAAACTTGCTGCTGTAGCTGGAACTACATTTGCTGCACAGCTGTAGGACACTTTGCAAAGAGCCTCAATCTCAGCTTCTTCTTTTCTATGTTGTGTCTTACGTAATATTCAAAGTGCTTCACTTGTTCCACATTTTGTCATGTTACTGCCTTATCTCCAGCTGGATTCAATTCATTTATCACCTGAAAAATTCTACTCACAATACCCGATAATGACAAAGTGAAAAACATTTGATTTATATTTTTGCAAATGCATTAAAAATTAAAAGCAAAACTAAATGTACACAATTTTTCACAGCCTTTGCTCAATACTTTGCTGAAGCACCTTTGGCAAAATTACAGCCTCAAGTATTTTTGAGTATGATGCAACAAGAAACACTTTTTGGGGGGAGTTTCTCCTCTCAGGCAGGATGGGGAGCATTGGTGCACAGCTTTCGGGTTAATCGGGTTAAGTCTGAGCTCTGGCCGGCCCCTCAAAGGTATTCACAGAGAGGTCCCGAAGCCACTTCTTTGTTATCTTGGCTGTGTGTTTAGGTTGTTGTCCTGTTGGATGATAACTCAGCAGGTTATCATTAAGGATGTCTCTGTACATAGCTGGTCCCCCAGTTCTTGCTCCAAAAAACCATTCCCACAGCATGATACTGCCACCACCATGCTTCACCGTAAGGATGGTATTGGCCTGGTGATGAGTGGTGCCTGGTTTCCTTCAGACACGGCCCACAGCATTCAGGCCAAATCAAAGTTTAGTCCTTGTTTCATCAGACCAGAGAATTTTGTTTCAGGTGCCTTTTTGCAAACTACACGTAGGCTGTCATGTGTCTCTTACTGAGCAGTGGCTTACATCTCGCCACTTTACCACACGGGCCTGATTACTGGAGTGCTGCATAAGTGGTTGTCTTTCTGGAAGGTTCTCCTGGAGCTCTGTCAGAGCGACTATTGTGTTCTTTGTTACGTCCCTGACTAAGGCTACGTCCACACTAGTCCGGATAGATTTGAAAACTGTGTTTTCGTCTGAAAACGCTCCGCGTCCACACTAGTGTTTTCAGT